CAGTCCAGCCTGGACGGGACATGTAAGTGCCTCAATCGACTGCGGAGCCAACGAGATCATGCCCAGGACCACTCACAAAAGATCTCTATGCTCGTCCTTGAGACCATCCCTCTCCATCCGGTTATGAAACAGCGTACCCTTCTTTGGGACGTCGCCAGTAGCTCGCCCACCTGAAGTCCATTGCCCACCTTGCTTCTTACTCGTCCGACGCTTCTTCATCGAGTCCCCTTCCTCCTGCTTCGGAAGTGGTTTATCCGCAGGACTGAACAAGAACTCTCCCAGCCTTTCCGTCAAGCCTTCCACAGGATCCACCTCCGTAATCTCAGCGGTGTATCGCAAATTGGCCGCCTCGGCATACATGGCCTGAGACCCTGGGGGTGCGTGATGTGATCCTGGGGTGCTGGCACTCCCACTTGGCGTATTCACATTAGGTCCTGACGAGTCGGATGGCGCTGATGGCGGTTCCTGGAGAGGTGGTGGTATCGAGGTGACCCGGCTTTGCGTTTGAGATGGTACGAATTGGAGCGGCTTCTTAGGATCAGCCATGAAAACATAGCTCGCAGGAGCCGAATCATCGGAACTGATAGGCGGGTAGCCTAGCGGTGGTACAGGTGGTGAGGTCTCATTTCCTAGTTTGTAAACTTGGTTAAGTTGCGCTTCCTGGGCGACAGGAAGAATATGCGTAGGATGCGAGGGACCAGTAGGGTTAACAAGAGTCATTCCTGGCTCGCTGTACTGGGGATACGGATACTGGCTAGTGGTTTCGGACACGAAAGTAGCAGGATATGCCACTTGAGGAGGCGTTGGTAGATACCCATTCAGATCATGGTCAGTCGGCAGAGGTGGGAAAGTGGCGGAATTGGGGACTGACATATCTGTCTGGGAAGGGTCGTATGGGACATATTGGAAAGATTGACCTTGCACGTCTTGGTATGCGTAAGAGTCTGGATACATCGCTTGTTGAGCGTTCGGATTGTCGTATCCGAGCGGCTGAGAGCTGAAAGCAGGTGGTATGGTGGATGTGCCATTCTGTATGTAGTCGGACAGATCGGCTGGCAAAGAACGCATGTTAGCTTCCGATGGACGCCTCTTTCTCCTGTCACTTACCGATGCGAGACTCCAATCCTTGAACCTTCTGAGCTTTCACAGGTGGTTGATATTCACAATCTTGCTTGTACTTGACGCAGCTGGAACAAGCGGGTCTTTCACCAGAGCATCGCTATGACATGGTTAGATCTGAATCGTACGAGGTTCAGACAGCATAGCCGCGCAACTTACCAGCTTCCGCCGCCTACAAAACTTGCACGCCCTGATGATTGTCACCGTTAGTTCGGCTGACGTGAGCAATGTTTATGATGCTACGACTCACATCCCTCGTCGAAGTGATGTCCCGGATGGAGCTATGTGCTCTACGGAGGGGAGGCCTGTTGGTCCCGAAACTGATGTGAGATCTGGTCAATGATGCCGACCAGTCGAGCTTCGAACTGACTGCACTCACAGGAGGCCGGATGTTGAGTCACGTATATTTGGGACTGTCCGTCCGATTGTCTGCAACGATGACAGCGGTGAGCACTCGACAACAGGGGTGAGGATAATTTATATTTCTACTCCAACTCACAAGTCTGAAGCTGATCTACTCCGCTCCTCTGATTGTTTCGCCATTTCCCGTGCGGTTTCAGCTATGTTTTTCCACGTGTCCATCCTTCTGTCGCCTTGACTCCTTTGCGCAGTCTGTGTACCAAGCGATGATATGCAACGTGACTCACCGTTCAGAGGGGTGTTGAGACTAGAAAACTGTTTGTATCCCGAGTCATCTGATTCCTCTCCTTCTGGCGATCCATCCAAAGCTAGATTATGAGGTATGCGGTGTGCGTTCCCCATTCCGCCAAAGGCAGTTGTGCCTTGCATACTTTGACGTGGGGATGTTGTCTTCTGGAGCATGCTGTTCGCTCCAGGAGCCAAGGACTGCCCATGTGATGATGGGATTTGTGAATGATTTACAGAAGGAGGTACGATATCTTGATTGTTCGGAAGCCACGGTTGCTGCTGCTGTGTCTGATGCGCATATTGGTTGCTTGGATACCATGTTGACGCCGATGCTGATGTTGATGATGACGACGACGGCATGTCCAGCCCATCAATGCCCTGTGCCTGCTGCTGCTGTTGCTGCCAGTCGTTCGGTACCTGTGATGGTCGTCGCGATTGTGGATCTTGTTGCTGGTTCTGCATATTGATGGAGGCTCCCAGCCTTCAGATGTATGTCAAGTGTTACGGTGATGACGGTCGATGACAGAAGGTATGCGATGATGATCACGGATGAGACACGGCGTGCCGCAGAACGGGGTGAGTGGTGTGGATGCGTTGCAATTGATCGACCAGTCCGGAGGGGAAATGCAGCTCGTACTGTTCGATTGTAGATGATGGGGTGGTTGTTTGAGGTCTAGGACGAGATAACAAACGGCTTAGTTCGCCTCGGGTCAGCCTGTGTCCGTGACAGATACGGGTTCAGACGATCGTAAAGGCCAGCCGATGGGATCTCAGGTGGATCTGCAGCGATATGCTACTTAACACCCACAGTAATCGGTAGTGGTAGTGATGGATCGGGTGATACGCTTGTAATATGCTTTTTTTTCGATTTAGTGTCGTTTTTAGCAATGTTGTACCGTGTACCGGGTCGGCCAGAGAGGCAATACAGGTGAAATACCCAAGGGGGAAAGCTTGACGCCGGTGCGATGGCGTCGGTCGGCTGCTTTAGGCTACTTGTCTGTCCGTCGGGGTGTCAGGGTTCCAAGAAAGACAGGCCGAGGGCGGGGCAGCATCGTGTGGGGAAGGAAAGCAATGAACAAACTGGAAGTGTGAGTGAGGGAGAGGGTCGTGAGATTGATGGGATTCCTACAGTGATGCCAGTACACGTCTCATTCTTTCACGCTCGTTGCACCAAGTCGGTCGATCAATTGAGCAAGCGTAGTGAACCTTAATAGGAGCTATGCCCCCTGAAGTCAAGCATACATGCAAGCCAACGTGATGTGATTTTCTGTAATAATGAGGTAAAGAGGGGCGTACGTCTTACTGCTCTTACTACTGAGCTCGGCTCACACACGCTGCAGACGTGGTTGGCATACGAGAAAGAGTGAGTTTAAATCCCTCATTTTGGGTGTAAGCTCCGGGCAGTACGCGCAAGGTGGTAAGCGGTGTAGCCGAGGTGTTGAACTAATGCTTGCATATATGCACACTGGGGGATTGGTGATTTCGAGATGTGTGATCTCATCTCATCTAATCGGGCCGTGGTCATCCCATCATTTATTTTTCTGGTGCCTCTTCAGGGCATTTAGGGTAGCGTGATTTGGATTACCTCAATTCCGGAACAGGTACATACATACTCGATAGCGGCGCGTTTTGCGTGGATTGCGACGCCTCTCGTCGCTTTTTTGGCTTTTTACTTCTTGCTTTTCAATATGTATATCATATCATATACCACCGCCATACGGTTTGAGTTGCCTGCAACGTTAGCATAAACGTAACCGCAAAACTCGGAAGGGCACATCCTGGGCAATGCCACCTCATGTACAGGCTAATTATTCACGTTCGTGACAGCATGTCATCGCCGCCGGCGTGCGTGGCCAATGAGCGAGCTGTATCTTTGAGGTGTTCAAGTACCCATTTCGAGGGGCCCGATCCTGCAGTTACATCTGTGCGCGAGGCCAATCAGCGGTCGTGTATCTTCTATCCAGAAAGATTCGGCTCGATGCAGTATTATTACTAGCAGACTGAATCAATCCTACTGAGTGGTTGATCGAGGTCGGAGTAAATCATCGCAACCTTGCGAGATTCAAGCGACATTGTGACGTTTGAACCATCATCTGTACAACATGTGCCTAGAGTACGGGACAACCCCGAGCGCTTCAATGATGGGCAACGTCACTCCGCCAAATTTGTTTGAGGTACGTGTACTATATGCGCGTTCAACCTTGCAGTGCTCGGGCCCCATGCCCCTGCTGCCGGCGGCCGTGTGCCATACTGACAGAGGATTCGATGAAGATTTGGATCAGATGGACCGGTCACCGCCAGCTGTACATTCCAATCACTTGTACATTCTCTCGTCGCACTACTCGACAAGCCTCAATCTGTCGACAGGCGGTGCGATCGACATTGTGCTCGTGCCGTGAGCTGATTGCTAGTCAAGCTGCACGTCGCGGTGACAGTACCGCAGGTACTGACAGTTGTAGTGATGGTTGGGAGGCGAGTGAGTGTGATAGTATGATTATTGGCAGGACGAAAGCAAGGCAAGGAAGTCTGGTCTTCAACAAGGAGCTAGCCTAGCAAGCCATAAGCGCGTGAGCCACGCTCCAGTCGTCCTGGACGAATGTACCTTCCGCGAAAGATGCGTTTCGGGGAAAAGTTGTGGGGACGGAGAGCGTCAGATAGGAGCAGCTTTGCCACATAAGCTGTACGACTGTGAGCTTACTGATAGAGATCTGTTGCTCTTGTCGAGGTATGGCGAGTGTTTGCCCCTATATGCTCCGTGAGCCCGGGCAGACGGTAAGAAGGAAGTGTACAGTAGAACCAAGTACATCCGATTATTCGACTGCTGCTCATATAAAGAAACAGACTTGGACCCAGAGTTTACGGAGGAGCATTGTGTTCCTTCCTCCTCGCCCTGTTTGAGAGCCTCTGATACGAGAATCGAGCATGATTTGATGTTTGCTACCAGGGACGAAGAGCGGCTGAGAAGGAACCGACTGGAATATTGGTAAGACCTCGCTCTGAAACGCTGGACCGATCAGCCCAGAGCGGTCGCCTGTACCGGGTCCGCTTGGAGCTCTTCTTTTCAGCGTCGTATGTATAGATACACTTGTGCAGGTCATGTCGACTAGCAGGTCTCACTTCTTCAGCGAAACAGCGTTAGAGCAGGTACAGAAACCACTGAAACAAAGGAAGAACAAGGCATCGAGCGATGCTTTCTTGAAAATATATATTCACCGAAAACTGTTGAAAAATAAGCCCCTGTGGCTCAGTGGTAGAGCGCCTGACTACGAATTTAGGGTTTTTACTCGTCTGTTCGAATCAGGAGGCCCAGGTTTCGAACACCTGCTGGGGTTAATTGATGGACTTTTTGCCTCCGGTCAGCTTTTGTGTGGCGGCGTATGGATGACAGGTGCCGCATTCTCTGTCCATCAGTCACCCTCAATTCTTTCTCTTCATTCATGTTGTCTATTGTTTCCTGATCGCACGTCTTCACTACTTTCATGTATAGGTGGACAGACATCTGAACGAGAGCGTCATCGGGTTGATCATTATTTGCTGAAGTGCAAGACGGCCCGTGATCGATGATCAGAATTTTCTGCGTGTGATCCCGCGCGGGTTGTGGCAATCCTGATCCGCGATGACTATTTCATACACCCATTCATCGCATTGACACTTTATCCCGTGAAGACTTCGGGAACCATGGTATCATGACCACTGCGAGGATCATCCCTTCGGTAGCTTGTATCAGTAGAAATCAGAGGACGATATCTGCATAGCAAGTGAACGAGATTCTTTGATGGTGATGGTCGTGATCCAGAGGAAGAGAGGAAAAAGACTGCTTTCAAATACAATCCCGCACGGCGATCTGCCATCCCCTTCCTCTATCCAGACCAAACGACGCACATGTCATATCAACGCCACGGTAACACCGTAATGCCGATCACAGCCCCGAGCTAGCCAAGCCTGCGCCTGCTTGCTAGCCCCCTTCACTCCGGAGCATGGGAACAAGGAAACAAGGAAGAAAAGGAAGCGCTGACACACACGCACGCAAGTAGTAGTGCCGGTCCAGTCAACTGAAATCACCTCATCATACCTCGCTCGCGGAAAAGGAAGGAAGGGACGCCAGATCAGATCACACCACATCAACTCGCGGGGAGACCAGACTCCAGACAGAAGAAACACATCGCACATCCCACCACACATATACTGACACCCTCTAAAACCTCAAAAAGAGACGTCAAAACCCCCCCTTCACACATCATCATCCTCAATCCAATTTCAACACCATACATCATCTTTTCTCATACATAAACAACAAACAACAAGAGATACCTCTACGCCTACCCACTTTCGACAAAGAGATTCAACAAGCAGTACATCATGGGTAAGTTCATCTTGCTGCACATGCATATGCATCAGGAGAGTGAGGAGCAGGTGCTGATGAAATTAATGCATGCATGCTCATACAGCCCGAACCAAGGTAAGCTTTCAAAGAACGATTGGTCTGTGAAGGAGGATCGAAGAGAAGAGGAAGATTGCATGCATATATACACCTCACCACCACCATATCACCACTTTCCGCGTTTCGCTCAACGGCAAAGCCCCCTTCCGCGTCATCAACAGCTCGTTCGCCGCCACCAACATCCATTCATCGCGCATTCGTCCATCATCGGCGTTGGGATGCATGCATCGCCCCATTGTCGAGGCACGGGTCGGATGCATGTCATCCCCTCGCCACTCCCATCTGCCCAACCAATCTCATCTACATACCTCAAATCGAACCAAACATATCGAACTCTCTCCTTTAGATTGGGCATCAATCCTTATGCTGTTGGGGAGGATGGAAGACATGATGGATGGACGAGAACTGACTCTCCATTCATTTGTTACATAGCAAACCGCTCGAAAGTCTACCGGTGGTAAGGCTCCCCGAAAGCAGCGTAAGTTGAAACGTCCAAAGTCGCTACCTAAATCGTACGCTACTCGTAAACGTCGCTGATTGTCTATTTTCCACCTTCTCCTCTTCCTCCCTCTTCATGCCCCACGACAATTCACAACATCATCACTGCTTGCCATTCACAGTCGCCACCAAGGCTGCACGAAAGCAGGCCCCCTCTCAGGTCACCGGTGGTGTTAAGAAGCCCCACCGATACAGGCCCGGTACCGTCGCCCTCCGAGAGATCAGGCGATACCAGAAGTGAGTAGGCGCTCTTGCCACACCCTGTACTTTCCCTCATCAGCCGAAATCTCTTTTCTCCATCTATCCCTTGTTCCGTCAACCGTCATTTTATCTCATGATCCGTTGGTCGCGCCCAGCACTTCCGCTACGTGTGCATGGCTGACCACAATCCTCTTTTGATGCACTACAGGTCCACCGAGCTTTTGATCAGGAAGCTCCCCTTCCAGCGACTTGTCCGAGAAATCGCCCAGGACTTCAAGACTGACCGTGAGTTCGCGAGGAGATGGCTGCGGATCGCTGCAAGTCCATAACTAACTTGACACCGCTTCTGCTATTTGACATATGATCAATAGTCCGATTCCAGTCCTCCGCTATCGGCGCTCTTCAGGAAGCCTCCGAGGCCTACCTCGTCTCCCTCTTCGAGGACACCAACTTGGCTGCTATCCACGCCAAGCGAGTCACCATCCAGCCCAAGGACCTCCAGCTCGCCCGACGACTCCGAGGCGAGAGGTCTTAAGGAAACAGCGACCATTGACTGGCTTTGACGACAGACACCTTCTGGCTTCACCGTGTTTGGATCGTGTCAATCGTTCCATGTCATCGCGCTACTTCTTTCTTTTGCTGGTATGATTCACCCCTTCTTCTTTCTTAGATGCTTCATATTTCTTTATTGCTTCTGTGATCTGGCATCTTTACAACATCCGAATCGTTGATGGATATCATCATGATAATGAAAAAGGCAACATAAGATCCCTTCTGACCCTTGTTACTTGTTACAACCAATTTGACTCGACTGGTTGAGTGACTCTGCTCTTCGTTTCCGTCGTCCCGCTTCGTTCTTCGCTGTACTTTGTTTTTAGAAATCCCTCACCATCGCTCACAAGCTGAGATCCCTCGCTCGAGATGGAATGAGAATGTATTCGTTGTCAACTGTGATTGAGCGAAGGGTGCCGCGATCTCCTGCGCACATCGACCTCTAGGCCACAACAGCGGCTGGCACTATGCTTTACGTATAAAGAGTTACATACAGCTGTCGTCCGGTTCATACATACTGATACAACATCGCCTAGTGTTGTCGTCGTCGATTCGCCTATTGAGCTCTTGAGTCATGTGTTTCCTCGCCGTCTACAGCATCGCCCTGCATCTCTACGTCTTCTCCTTCTCCCCTAAGGACTGCACTCTGCCCTCTCAGATCTGCACCGCCCCCATCCCCATCCTCGTTCCAAATCGCTCCTCCTTCTCCCTGTGCTCTCATCGCTCTGAGCGCATCACCCATCTGAGCCAAGACACGCCCTTCAATCCGACTAGCATACAACCCTAGCTCTGGCCCATCTACATCTCCATGTCCATCTTCAATTCCGTCTTCATCTACGTCACCCTTCAACAGCCCATCTTCTTGCCCAGTTTGAGCACTTGCATCTCCGGATGAGCCGGTCAAGGCGCTTGGTTGACGAGGGCGAGGGATGGTAGAGGCGAATGGCGTAGGGATATTATGTGCCGAGGGCGGCCGTAAGGTCGCCGGGCTCACACGGGTTTCGCGGAGGTAATACACGGTCTGACGGAGTACGAATTGGATTTTCTGAGAGTGTCAAACGAGGAAGAGGTTTACTTGTTAGTTATGTTCGTTGTCGCTTCAAATACTGATCATGTGCTCCCTGAGGTCGTGAAGAAACAAGTGAGGCTTTGGATGGTCGGATCGCAACGGTGAGTATTTGGGTATAGCATATAGAGTATAGCATGATCGAAAGCGCAGAGGTTCGAGCTTGAGCTCGGACACACAAGGAAGGACAGGTTGCAACCACATTCAATAATACAACACTCACATCAAGCAGACTCATGTATCGCTCCACGCCCTCTCGAGCCAGCATTCCCGTCGTCTCCTCATCGTACTGTGTTCCTGATCCTGATGTAGGCACTACGAGGTGCGAAAGGATCGGTTTGACTGATAGTAGAAGCTCAGGAATTGCCTTGAGATCACGAGGCACCACCGCCAACAAGGGAGACATGCGTGTCAGCCATGAATTTAGTGCACTGTTGGTTGCACAAAGTAGAAGAGGTGCGAGATGATGATGGTCCGTACACCGCAAATTGAAGGCGCTGCCAAGCTGAAGCTGAGGCCTAAACCCACCTTCTCTACGTTGGTGAGCGCCGTAAACAATGAGTCGGCATCGAGCGACTCGAGGTCCAGTCCGTCTGAGACGGACGCAGCGGGGGACGACATCGGTTCGTTTTCGCGTATGAGCGGATTCGTTGGCGTAAACGTCGAGCTAGATAATCGCCTTCCGTGGTTCGTGATTATATGGTCGGTCGGTCCTCGATGACTCGAAATCTTCTCTGCTCTGGGCTGCGCTCCCCGGCCTTGATAGCTTGATATTCAGTTGGGACCGGTTTCTTGTGAGCTGAACTTGTTGGTAGATCAGTGGATTTCCAAGGTATTGACGCCATGGTGCACCACTGCATAACGTTAAATGGATTGTATTGACAACATTGGTGATATAAGCCTTAAACACCGTGGGAAAGTTGATGTTCGGTAAGTTAACTGTAACTTACTGGCGGAGAGTGTCAATTGTGGTTGCGAAGTTCGTCTCTTGACTTCTTCACTCGTTTCGGTCCAGATATCATCAGACCTATCTGGTAGAACACGCAAACGAAGATCAAAGACCATCAGCAGAACAACTCAAGGCACAATGGCAGCAACGCCCCCTCTCACGCCCGCGCCAGCGCCAGCTTTCATGCCTGCGGCCGCTCTCCCATATACACCGAAGTACCATGTCAAGCAAGGTCGGAATACCAACACTATCACAATCGGGGCGTGGACCATTCAGAGTACAAAGAAGCCCATACTGAACGGTAAAGAGATTGATGCGTGAGCTTGGCTGTCTTGATCGGTGTTTAATCGACCACTATGACGGTTCCAGCCGCGTGGCCTCAAGGCATTGCGAAATACTGCATAGAAGAGCAAAGGAGCTGAGCTGACGTGTGTGGGGCTTCCTGCGCTGTAGCGTCGAGAAACAACTGAATCTTCCTCTGCCCGAGATGACATTCGGAAACAATCATCTACGTCTGACATACTCCGCATCGGAAGCAAGCGCAACGTCGTCAAGCTCGACATACCCATCATCTTCTCGACCTCAAGCGAGGGATTCCTC